ATGCTGAGTTGAGCTCAAGGTCCCCTCTGTAGTTAAGGAACCCTGTGCCATTTGGGTGACACCTGGCAGCAAGAAACAAGAGCCCAATGCCCTGATTTCCTGCTTTTATGGCACATTTGATCATTCTTGATTTTTAACAAAAAAAAAAAAAAGAGTTGTTCAGCCTTGTTGTATAAGGATAATAAACCAGATTCAGTGGTGGTTTTTACTAGCTTCCTATTCTAATTTTCAGGTTTGATGGATATAAAAGGCTTCCACATCCAAGCAAATGCAGTGGAACATGCTGACTTCTCTAGGCAAAGGAGTGTGCTCTAATTCTACCAAATTTGAGAGAAACCAACTTTAGAGTCAGTGCTCAACAGCAAGGCCCCTGGGACAAGCCTAGGCCTCTGTTCCCAACGGGGGCTGCTTCCTTGTACAATTGTTTTCCTCATCTGGAATCTTCCTGGGACTCTGACATCCTTCTGAGCACCCACCATGGACTACTTAGGACTGACTTAGCTCCTTATTCTGCTAAGTAAGCTATCACCCCTTCCCTTCTGCTTTCCAGGCTGAAGAATCGTCTTTCATCCTGCTTTCTTGTCCTTGGGAGTTCATGCTGTGCTTATCAGAACCCTTCTTCTGCTAGTTTAGTGGTACGTTCATAAAGGCACTGAAGAGAATTTGTATTCAGTTTACCATTTTTAACCAGGAGTCATCTTTAAGTTTCTATAAAAATATTCCTTCACTGTTATTTCTCTTGTTATCAAATCAACAATGGCTTGAAGTTGTCCAACAAGAATGGATTTAATGCCTCCCTTCTTATTCCCTGTTTTCATTAATACAGTCTGAGGAATAATCCCTTGATTATTATTAAGTATTTTACATTATTCCTTAATAACAATAGCATTTAATTTAGCAATGAAATTTACTGCAATTATTTTACTTTACTAATGAAATATATTCTTTTGATTCTAAAATTATACCATTCACATTCTTTATTTTTATTTGTATCTTAGTGGATTGGAATTAGCCTAATTTTTTTAGTAAAGGTTAATGAGTGATGTCTTTTCTGAGCCTTTGAATATGAGAATATCTTTCAAATTCCTTTACAGATGAAACGGAGTTTGGCTGGCTGTTGCTTTCTTTGAGTCTTCTCTTTTTCTGGCATTTGGTAATACAGAGGAGAAATTTAAGACCAATTGGACATTTGTTCCTTTGACGGTGACTCATTTTCTTTTGATGTGTGTGTGTGTGTGTGTGTGTATTAGTTGTAGATGGACACAATACCTTTATTTTGTTTATTTATTTTTATGTGGTGCTGAGGATCGAACCCAGTGGCTCACATGTGCAAGGCAAGCACTCTACTGCTGAGCCACAACCCCAGCCCCTGATTTGTGTTTTGACTTGTATTTGTTTTTCTTTGTAAATACTGAAGGATTTTCTTTTTGTTTTCTTTTTTCCTTCGGCTTAAAAAAATTGTCAGAAAGGAACTTTGAATTGATATTGTTTGGAGTAAACTTAGTTCTCCTTTTTTTCAGTTTAGTTTTTTTTTTTTTTTAATTTGTCAGTTTGTCTTGGATTATCACTTCCCCTTCAGTTCTTCACTTATGTTTTCTCAGAAACAGTTATAATTGACTTTTTGTTGTTGTTGTTGTTCTTTCCGGTCCCTCAGACCTAGGATCTTTTTGCAGATGGCCTCATAGGGATATTTACCCTCTATACACCAGTGATTTAATTTTTCCTATGTGTTCTGCAATCACTTCTCTCCACGTGGATGATAGTGCTACCTTTCAGTTTTAGAATCCATGTAATGCTTCTTTTTTTTTCTTTCCTTTTCTATCTATAATTTCTTTTCATCTTACCAGAGGACTTTTATTGATTTATAGCTTTCTACTTTTGTTTTAAGAGGTCATATCTTCTTGTATCATATCAACGTTGCCAAATACGTTTTTAAAAATTACTTTTGATTCCTAGAGGAAATTATCTTTAGGAAACTAAAGATGTGCTTCCTTTGAAAATTTGCATGCTCATTACTTTCCATATTCAGTACTGTTTAGTAGACCCATGCTGACTTTTAGCTGTTATTTTTATTCCTGAATTTGGAAATATTCAACCAGACCCTCTCAAAAAGAGAATATACTGGTTGTCCTTAGCCCCACTGTGTTCCTGTTTGTTAGTAAAAGTCCTTTTAGATCTCTGACCTCTTAGTGGGGGGTTGTTTATGGACTCTGACCCATTTTCAGTGGACTAGAAGACTTTCAGACAAGTAAGTATCTCCAATGCCTTGTTCTCTGTTACTTTATATATGAGTTATATAAGAACTCCAACACTCAGAATGCAGCACTTTCAAAGATCATCTTGTCTCTAAATCTGCCACTGACACTGCCAGGGTGCAAAGTACTTCCCCTTCTTCCCAGTTGTTAAAATAAAGTTGCAATCACTAACCCATGGAGTGGGGGATTCTCCTGCTGCCTCAAGAGGCATCACCTTGCATGAAAAAGAGCTGTCTAGGTTTCTGACTGATACAGATTTTTACATTTCTGTTCAAGATGACAGAAAGCAGAGAAAGAGAGATATGCGGATACATTTTCCTACTTGCTTTAAGGATTTCAACTTGTTTCTTGTTACCTCTCATCACATTCATTAAACCTCATTTTATTCTTTTACTGTTGTAAAATCATTCTAATTTTAGCAAAAAAGTTGCTGGTAATATCTTCCTCCCTTGTATGATTGCAAACTGCTTTACTTTTTTCTCTTTGTGGAGATATTTTAGTAGAAAGTTGGGAGAGCCTCTACCAGGGGCTGGTGGCAAACATTTAAAATTAAGTGTAGCTTATATGAAACTCCACAGGCAAAGTACTTTTTCATGTTACACAGCACTTGAAAAATCTTGCTTCCTGCAGATATTTTGTGAAAATATACTCTGCCTTGTAAATATTCATCATAAGTTGTTATTCAAATCTTAGAGGCATCAGTGTTCCTGTAATAGAACCTATGTCTTAGGAAAACTGGGTCATTCTAGTGTTGAAATAAAATGTACCTAAGTAATTGTAGGAATTCCAATGACTTCTATAAAATTTTTATTATACATAAAAGCTGCCTGATAACTGCCTACTAACAGTAGTCTTAGAGCTGAAACAGCTGTTATAAATGATTTAATAAAGAAGTTACAAATTCAGTTGCCTCCAGGGGCCAGAAAAATAAGGCAATCCATCAAGTAGCCTTGTTCAATGCAAATAAGTAGAGGGAGGGACTAGAGAAAAGTAGAGATTACTGGTGCTACCAAATGCTTGAGTCATCGTTACAGTATAAACTCACTCTACCTTTAAAGATAGACTAAGGTCAAGGGATATTAACAGCCTCACCCAAAGTTAGGATAATCTATGTTCATAATCAGAACCAGTTATGTAATTTGTAAGGCCTAATGCAAAATAAAACATGGCACCCCTTGTCCAACAAATAAGAATTTCAAAACAGCTACAGTACAGCATTTAAATCAAGCATAGAGCCCCACGTGAAGCCATCCCACTTCTGACCTAGAATTTGACTCAAATCACTCTTACCTGTAACCACCAAGAAACTGAAATTGAAGATGAAGTTAAAGTTAAGTTTTTTACTTTAATGAATAAGCAAGCCATGTCTACTTACTAGTGGCTTTTATGTGCGGTTTTAGAATCCTTGCTTTTCTATTAGTGTTTGGAGACTTGTGGAATCATTTTTGTTTCCATCAGTTTCTACTGTTGTTCCTTGGATTCAGGCTTTATGAATTGTTGGCTGTTTTCAACCCTGATGTTCAAAGCTCTTTTCCAAAAGTTAGTTCTGATTAAAGTCCAGAAAATGTGAAGAGTTGGTTAGTCCATGAATGAGTCTGCCTGTGTCTCCCTTGGGTCTCACTCAACTGTTGGAGACCCCATATCATTATTCTTTATTCTTATCTGAATACAGCTGTCATTTCCTCCAGATGATCTTGTACATTATTTGAATCATCTCGAAAGATCACCTTTCATTGTTGCCCTATTTGAAATTTTTACATGATTTGCAAACACAAAAAGCGAATTGCCTTCTGATGGACTGAAGCTGACTGGTCATTTTCTACTTTGTGTTCATTTAAAACTCCTAAAAATCCCAAGTTTCCACTAACAACATAACCTCAGGAATCATATGCAGTGAAATCTAGCCAGGTTTTAAAGGCACAGCTATTCACAGAGAGTACAGGAATAAAATTAGAAATTGAGTACTAGGGTAAGAGAGGGATTTTTTTTGTAATAAATAAACAAACAAATACACACCTACATATCTTATAATTCAACATTCTTGAAACATTTCTATCATTTAAAATCTAAAGAAAAGATAAAATGTTTTTTAATTTAAAAACAAAGTCTACCAGGTAGATGCAGTTTAGAATGGTATATACTTTTAACAATTGTAATATTTCTTATTGAAATCTATATGACTTCCTTTAGCAACATCCACAAAGATGTCAATAAACAATTGTTTAAAAGACAAAAGAAACTTACCCAATTTTAGAATATTGAAGTTTTTTTATTCTTTTTTATATTTTTATTAGTGCATTATAATTATATAAAATATTGGGGCTCATTTTTACATAATCATACATGCATGGAATATAATTTACTTCAATCCCAGTGCTTCCCAGTTCCTTTCCTTCCTAAACAAACATGAACGTTAGTTAAGTCATTAGTGTCTGAATCAGATAAATTATTTGAATATCTTCATATTGTTGAACTATATCCCTTCATGAGTAATTAGCAAGAGAAAATTCACATGTTGGGGAAAGGGAGAAAATGGGCAAATTCAGTAAATGAAAAAAAGTTATGAATGATTAATATTTAAAATATTTGGTGTAAGCCATGCACATATGTGTTCAACAGCTAATACACAACAAGTTTAATCCCTGGAGAGGCAAATTTAATGGAGTTCATTCACTCACATATTTCAGAATATATTATGAGATATATAGACTGAATGTCATAGAATTTTTTTTTAACCTTCTGCAGGTGGAGATTTTCATTTTACCTCTACGTATTTACCTATGGAGTCCGGTTCCTGAAAAAGGTAGGATCTGTCAAATTACTTTATATAATTCTTATATAACCAGAAGCCTACATCCCATTTTTTAAAAATATGTGACTATATTTTAAACAGTTATAACAGTCGTCCTAAGAATTATTTGTGCATTTTTATTTGACTTGCAAGTAATATTTTGTGTTCTTTTTTAGTAAATCATTTTTAGGCACATATCTAAGATTCTTCTGAAAATACTTTCTCTTCTTTTACCAGCCTGTCTTGTCCTAAGCATAATTTTCAAATAACTTCCTTCTTTGGTTAAGTAACAAAGTTGAACTAACCAAGTCATTACTCCGATTTAAATAACTTTAAGTACTTGATACATTTGTTTTTCCAGTGGAAGATGCTGCTAGTCCCATATCCATTCTAGCTAACTATACTTTTTTGCATTAGGAGCTTCATAAAATCCAGCTGATGCTGTAAAGGAAGTTAGTTTCCACATCACATATCACGCAACTTGATATCAGTTGTTGCAATGTAGGTTATCACTGCAGTCTTCATGAGTAGAAATTGCTCTTTTAACGTCTTACTTTGCAATTAACAGGGCAGCACTAACTGCTGGTGGAAAATTCAGTTCCTTTCATAGTTGTGCTTTCTTTGCCTGCTTTACTAAATCCTTCATGGACTAGGGTACCTTACTCTATGAAAGTAATTCATTGTGTCTACCATAGTCTTTCTTCCTAGTTATTTCCATGCATACTGCTACTACTAACAAGTTAGGCTGCTTAAATTTAGGACTCATGAAGAAGTACCTTCTGATAGTCATGTACATATTAGCAACAGTGATTTGATATAAAATGGAAAATTATTTTTAAATAATTTTATAAAGTGATATGATTGTTATCTTTATTTTACAAAAATATTTTTCAAATAGGACTTGTGCCAAGTAGGGTGACTTCCTAGTAAATCTTGTAAATATTGACATGAAAATTTCAAGTATGTTTTTATTTTTAAGGTCTGAGTTATCAGATGTAGTCTGTCTGTGGCAAATCCTATTATAGATAGTGGTTGTTTCCCATTATTATAGTTTCCTAGAGGAAATATTATTTTTACTCCTTATATTTTTCTTTGCCAATGGCACTTCTTTTTTCACTAAATAAGAATATATGGTGCAGAGGCCAGTTGGATAGATTTAAATGAATGAACTTTACCCATAAATAGGAAGAAATTCTCAATGGGATAAACTAATGTGTTGGAAACTGCATATTTTAGAACCTTGCTATTCTCACGTTCAAACTTATCTAGAAAAAAAAATAGAATGACTGTAGGACATTTATGCTTGTAACTTTACTATATTGGAAGAAGAGATTGCTTTGGGTGGAATTTCAGCTGATACTGGAGAGTGGTGTTTCTGGGTACCTGGGGTTGCTAACTAGGGTCAAGGTTTGGAATTCTCTCCTGGTTCTATTGGTGAGAGGCTTTGGTGGTAAAAAGGAGAAGATGATGAGAGCTAGGAGCAGTTTTGTCCTTTTCCCCAGGTGGGCTTGATATGGTTTCCTGTAGCTATCATACGTCAAGCATGGCTATCTGTCATCAGAACAGGAAGCACTCTGACATTTAGCTCTGGCTCACTCTGACCCTAAACAAAATGGGTGGAACAAGAATAACTTTTCTCTTCCAGTCCTCAGTGGGTTGTGGAAGACAGTTAAGAGGGCCTGCTGATAGAATGTTTGCTTGAAAATGTTTTTCCTTAAACTGTACCAGTTTTCTTTCAACTATCTCTGCTTATAACAAATGCTTTAAAAAGATAAAGGAACTAGACATTGTTCTGGTTAAACTAATTTGTAATGGGGGTTTCTTTCTTTAATGCTGTCTAAACAGCACCTGTTTTAGTTTAGTTTTAGTCATAATGTAAGATAGAAATGAGTGCATAGAAACCACGTGACCAAAATACCTGTGGAGAACTTCATAAGCCATCTTGTCAAGCCCTCTCATTTCATAGCTAAGGAAGCAGCAACTCAGAGAGGACGGATAGCATTCTGAAGTTAACATAGCTAGCTTACTAAAGCCTGAACCTCAAATTAAACACACACTGCTGTCTCTTATTCCAGTGCTTTTACCAGCCTGTCTTGACTTCAGCATAATTTCCAAATGACTTCCTCCTTTGGTTAAGTAACAAAGTTGACCTAACCAAGTCATTATTCCAATTTAAATAACTTTAAGTACTTGATACATATTTTTAAATATTTTTATCAACTGTCTTGGAACAGACAATGGTTTTATCCATCTACACCCAGAGGGGGGAAAAATTTGGACACAGCTTCGAAAATAAAATGAAGTAATTAAGATTTTCAAACTACAATAAATACTTTGAAATCCATTTTCTTCAATATAGCAGAAAGTCTTTTATGTTATTTTCCAAAGAGTAGTAGAAATTTTTTTCATAATACCAGTGTAATGAACCAATGTTAAGAGGTAGATGGCTGTTACTGGCACTCATTTTATCCAAAGTATCAATTACTATTACCTAAACTCTTAGAAAAATGCCTGGTACCTCTCATGGTTCAGTTTTCCTTTACCTTTAAATAAAACAAACCTGCTAGGACTTATCTTCTACATTGAATTAAGTAACTGCCCTTTCTCCCCTAAAAGAATAAGGAATAGATTATACAGCATTTGCTTTACAGACATGTAAGTAAACTATTAAGTTATTGTTAGAGTGCTAGGAAATACTTAAATAGGTGAAGCTTGACCATATCATCTGCTTCTGTTATTGCTGTCACAAGTGACTGCCCATTAATATGATTGGCAGAGATAAGTATTTCTGTAAAAAGCAGCCCAGAGTTACTTAGTTACTTGATGTGCTCAAAAGTCCTAGCATACAATGGGCTTATACAAATTCACACATTTTCTTAGGTCTGTAGAGAAACTACATATCAAGCCTTAGAAAATAGACTAAGCTCTCTCTGATGTACTGCATTTACTGTTCTTTTTTTTTTTTTTTTTTTTTCCTCATTTGTAGACAGGAGTTTCTGTTGGGTGAAATTATTCAAATAGTTTTCAATGGACTCCTATAATTAGTGTCACAGGAATACCATATAAATACATGTGCTACCAAGATTTAGATAAGTATTTTTTCTTGTAATATACATGTTAGGCTAATGTATTTCCAACTTTATAGTCATAAAGTACATTTTATATCACAATCAATTCTGTACATGTGCATATACATAATTGAAAGAAAACTTACTCAAAATATACCTCTATCTAACTTCTGTAATCTGGGGGCACCTATTAAGAGACAAAAACCGTAGGGGATATTTTAAGCATTACTATAATATCAAAAAATCATTGACCAGAGGAACTCAAGGTAATTGACTCCCAGTGTGTGATGAGATAAGGAGCTTGCACACCAACGTAAATGAACCCACTTTGTTTTGAGAACATCGACCTGTGAACTGTAGCTGAACTGAACAGTGTGCCTCATGAAATAACTAATTTACAAATGAACATACACTCTGGTGTAAGCTCCTTTGTCATTGTGAATCAGTAACCAACATTTGAATAACCCATTGCTCTGTGCTTGTGCTATACCAAGGAAGGGCTCAGAGAGGTAGGAATGGCAGGGATATGCACCACTCTGAAGACCAAGGAGTCACAGGAAGTGGTTGCAGTTATTAGAACTTAGAATCTCAAAGGAAGGGCCATGAGCCCCACCAGTCTTCTGAGGAAGGGATGCAGCCCAGCTGGTGTCTCTGAAGGAGCACAATGATACTGTTCCTGGGAATGTGTAGAAACTGCAAACTAGAACCAACTGCTGCTACTGCATCCAGCTGCTGCTGCCACTGGGTGAGGATGCAGATGACAAGAACTGGAAGCAAACCAGAAAGAAGAGAGTCCTATTTTCTTCTTGCAGCCTCCCCCCTGGTGCTTTCCAGAGACCAAACTTGGCATGATCTCAGTCCCTCAGAGCCAGCAGAAGTGTGACTTGCAGAGTCCCACTTCTGAGGCTGAGAGCAGCATCTCTGTAACTAGCTCAACCTCAGCATATTGCTGCATTCTGTGACGTGCGTCAATAAATTATTGTAATTTATTTTATTTTTAAAATATGTTACTTGCTGACTTTGTGACTCACTACTGGGTGAAAACCTGAAGCTGAGAAGACTGTGTCAGACTAGCCCTTTGGCCATTCCCTTGGAATTCCTGAGTACAGCCTGAACCAAGGCACAGCCATCATGGTTTCACGTGGCGTTCTCTTCAAAGGTCAACAACAAAAGCTGCAGTGTTCCCCTGGTGTCATGTTTCAAGATGTTCTCTTTTGCGTATTGGTTAGCATGGAATCTTTCTGATATGGAAACACAGTTGTCATTCTTTTCTCTATTTGAGGATGAAAATAAAATTTGTTCATCTGTTAGAATGTACATCCATTTAAAATTTTCTTTCGTCATTTTTAAAAATGTTGAAATTGCTTGGACAATGTTGCTTTTTTTAGGCAGCTTGAAATTTACTTCTACCTGAAAAAATGGCCCATCACATATTTCTGTAAGCAGTGCATATGACATAGACCACTAACTAGCATGGGGGAGGGGCCGTAAAGATCAACTTTCCCACATTTCTCATTTCAGAAAAGAAAAAAATAATAATTTCAGAAGGGAGATTTGACATGCCTGAGGCTAATCTTTTTTTTTTTTTTAAGAATTTTTCAAATATTTTATTTTATTTGTTTTTTGAGGCTATTGCGAAGGGGATAGTTTTCCAAATTTCTCTTTCATCAACAATGTATAGGGATGCAATTGATTTATGGGTGTTAGCTTTATATCCTGCTACTTTGCTTCATTCATTTATGAGTTCTAGAAGTCTTCTGTTGGAATTTTTTTGGGTGTTCTAAATACAGAATCATGTTGTCAGCAAATAGGGATAGTTTGAGTTCTTCTTTTCCTATTCATATCCATTTAATTTCTTTCTTCTTTTTTAAATTTTTTTAATTACTTCTAGTCAGTTATACATGACAGCAGAAAGCTTTTTGATTCATTATACATAAATGGAGC